GTCTACAGCAACCCGTTAAAAAAAAGTCGTTTGTTAATGCGCGCGTCAAGTCTTCAAACCGTATTAGTTCGAGATTAGTGTTAAAATTATGGATTTTATCCCTTGTGATGAGAGAGAGTACTGTAGATTTCCACACCGATTTTAGAGGAATGAACACCACTTCCATCACCACTTTCTACATTTTATGCCAGGCTGAATGTGACATCCTCACCTGTCCCACCCAACTGCCGTAAAAATGATACTGTCTATAGCCAGGTAAACGAAAAAGGTGACTTCCTTTAAATTTTTCCCATAGTTGGTGATTGGGGCTAGTTGTTGACCGTCGGGAATTTGTAATCACCTTTGTCTTTTCCAAGTTCCCCCTTGAATTTCTGCTGTTCGCTGCTTCTCCTACCAATTTGATGTTGGTTTTTTCTCCTGCAGATCTTCAAGTTTGTGGAACATGAAATTTAAACCATCCGGGAAATCTAAATCTGCAAAACTTTTTCTGTCAATCTAGCATATACCGGTTGTCATACTACCCAGGGTATGTCTCATGATCCGAGTACACCATCACACCCGGCAAGGTAATCAGTGATATATATATATGTATATATATCAGTCAAGCTTGCTATGTGGCCACCATGCCACTAGGTGGCATCCCAGTGAGCTCTAAACTGTTTTTACTAGATGGTTGGAGGCCATCGACAGAAAGCCTTGGACCTGCGTTTTGTGCTTGCTGTCACTCACCAGTGTGCGAGGCGTGGCGGTCACACTGTAAACTTGACTAATAGTATTCACGTATTGGTTTATGGAGATTTTTGTTTGATTGGTTACAGAATTTCATCATGAACTGACATAGCAGTTAGAGAACCATTGGAAAACCTGCATGGAGTACTGCCAGACAGCTGTTTCGTCAGTCTAGTTTGAGACTCCTCATCAGAGTTCAAACCCAGGACCTTCTAGTTACAAGTCTAGCAAGCTCGTAGACCATTTGGCCACTGGGACCCGATCCAATGGCTAGCCAATTCATGACATATAGCCCGACCAATTCGCAATATCTTCCTCGATGAGTATCTGTCCTCACCTTCAGCCTACTGTACCCTACTGGTCACGACTTCCTACTAGAACCCCAGGTAACTACCTATCTGAATAGGACCACCAGTCGCTAGTGAGCATTAGAGAATTCAGTCTGCATCAAACGAAGGACTAGACATACTTCACTAGTCACTGACTAGTCTTCAATCAAAGTATCCAATATAGTCTCACAGGAGGTCGATCGCAAGCCCGAATAGCTCAGGGATAGTGTTTCTGACTGCAGGCGCCACTGGATGACACAGGTTCGAATCCTTCAAGGCTGTAGATACGCCTTGCTAGCTGGTGAGTTCAAACAAACACGAAAGCTGAGTTACTGAAGGCTTCGTACTGACCATCTATTGACATTAATATATATGCATTCACACACACACACATACTGATTTATTAAAACTCGACATTGAAGCCTTAACTAGTAAGTTAATAAATAGATAAATTACGCTAGAAATCACTGTGCCCTATCAACAGTAAAAAGGATGACGAATATGAGAATGAATAATTGCACTTAAGATGTCGCTAAACATCGAAGATGATATTGACTACCCCCCCCCGCCGCCTCCGCTCTATAATATTCAATGACAGTCAATCAGTGTACAGCTTATCACTACCACCCACTGCACTGTACTGTATTGTATTGTAATGTGGTTCAATATATGCTCACTCACTTCACTCACTCTATTTGTATTCACATGAATAGATTTCTTTTTTTTAGTAATACAACATACGCTTATTAAAATTCAAAATGAGTCACTTGATTTAGACATTGAACACTCATCATTAGTCATGTAGTTTATTCACAGACTTGACACAAAGCCACACATATACACACACGCACTCACACGGTTTGGGCTCCAGGTGGAATATAGGCCTTCAAAAGTACATCTTCATGTCACCCTTTCCTCTGCAGTCCGCTTTAGCGCTTTCTCCACAATTACACATAAGCTCTCATCTCCTCCTCCTCAAAAGATCTCCTTCATGCCACCCTCACCATCACCCAATCACCTTCCCATTCGAGGGTCTGGTGCGCGCTGTCATCTAGCAATCTCCTCAGCGGGTGTATTTCCGATCTCTCTCTCTATTTTTTTTCAACATATTTAAAACAATTAGTTCCCCTTTAAGAACTTTATTAGACAAAGGCAATAAGAAGACATAATTTGTGTCAATCGTGTAGTGCTGTATTTGAGCACAACACATTTTGAACAATCTGATCTCACACTCCACGGACTTGTCATAGGACTGTATTTATATGAAATTAATAAAGAGTTAAGAGGTGAGGAAGTAGGATTAGTTCAAATTAAAAGGACATATTGACGGTGACGCCCTAAGTTTCTGACCCATAATACAAGAGCTCACTTAACACATACTTATTAGTTAGGTTATACAACCACCTCTTGATGGGGTTTCGAACCAATAATTTTGTTATTTATAAGAAAAATGAACTTCTAAGCGTTTATTTACAGGGAATTTAGAAAAACTCCAGTATTCCCTAGATGTTTCACGTGGTTCTTTAACAAAAGTTAGTTCAAAAATCATACTTGACATCAATAAAATCATCTCTATAAACTAACGCATGAAAATTAATCCAGTGCTCACTAGTAACTGACTCTACAAAAGGAAATTAAATCTATTTATAATGAGAAGTCGTGATCAATGAGGTTCACCAAGTTGGCATATGAGAAGAAATACTTGCCGATGACACTGACTAACGGTTACGCTGTGTATTCAGGAGAAGTTGCAATTCATGAGCTAGTGGAATCTGTCCAGATGGCTCAATGATCAACGCAGCTCACCTTGTAACCTAAGGGTTTGTGGGTCCGATCCCTAGCCTTGGGTCATGGGTGCGTACTGATGAAGAGCTCCAAATTGGGGTGAAACACATGTCCAATGGTCCCTGATTTTCAATGATTCTCCAACTAAATTCATTTCACGACTGAATTTGAAAAATTAACTGACTAATCCGCCACGGGACCGAACATATTTCGAATAAACACTTTGGTTAGAAGGTGACTTCTAACACCCCTTTGGTTCACGATCAAATCCAAATTTCATACATTTGTCGGCGCAGTCATCACCTCAATTATCTGAAACCATGTTATTCTGTGTGTGTGTTGCAGTTAGAGAGATATCGCCACCAATGAGGTATTTATTTTATTATTCATCAAGACGTGACTTTATTTTTTTTATTCCTTCACGTACCCAGTGGAACATAGGGGAGAGGGGCTTCAAGCTAGAGGCTTGAATTTTCAGTAGCAGCCGTGTTTATTTTTACGGGGTGGGGTGGCTAGCCAGCCTCATGCCCCCAACCTTCCCTCTTTAGTGAGGTAAAGCAGTGAGTCGGTGGCCGGGGATCGAACCCCGAACCACATGCATGGTTGGTTTGGTAAGCATTCTACCGCTGTACCACCGACGTACAGACGTGACTTCGTGTAAAAATGAATTTCGTACGATGATTAACATTCAAGATTAAACAACCTAAGAATGACTACATACATCATCTACGATCACCTAGTGTACTCTGTTGATTACATACACTGTTGAGATTTAGTCTTTATTATCGATCAATTATCTGTGGGCAATCTATCCGCCAGCATATAGCAATAAAAAAATTAGAGTTAGAGAAACAACAGAGACTGATATAAGTATAAAACTTGGGCACTGTGGTAGAGTATAACTCCATTATGGATAAGATTTTTATTTTAATAAAATCACACAGTGTTTGTTATACAGTAATACTAACTGATGACCAAGTTTCGAGCACACTTTATTACTATTGCTCATAATCATATCAAGACACTCACTCACACAACTCTCTTGATTCGTTTATATACATGAGTGGAATTGATGATTAGATATTTCAGTAAAAATCAATATGGGATAATGTACATTCAGAAATTATAATAATATGAGTGTTATTGATCAATCACAATCAGATGGGTAATAAGATGAGTGTTTTTATAGTCATAATGAGTAACTTGTTAGAATGTTGTGATGTGCTTGAATTGAAATAGAATACAATTTGAGATTATTTATTATCTTCCTCTGATTTGACTGACTGGTAATAATATCTTCCCAAAATATCTCTGGTGTTTGCATTGAGTCATTCCTATTGCATGTGTTGAGTGTAGACTGAATGAACCAGGACTCAGTAATCAATCTCTCTCTCTCCACCTACTTATATTACTTCTTACAATTTTAACCCTCTCCCACCCTATTGTGTGATTGTGTGTTAATGCAATGACTGTGAGGTCAACTAAATAGGTCCAGGTAGCAGGTCGGAGGTAGTCAGATTGTCGGAGCATAAGAATTTGCCTAAGGTGAGAATGGCTGACCCCGAGATGAGTAATTTAGAAAAAAGCTCAGCAATAGCACTGCATGGATTAACACACAATCACACAATAGGATGGGACAGGGTTAAGATTCAAAGAAGTAATATAAGTAGGTGGAGAGAGAGATTGATTACTGAATCCTGGTTCATCCAGTCTACACCCAACACATGCAACAGAAATGACTCAAAGCAACAAATACCAGAGATATGTTTGGAAGATATTATTACCACCAGTCAGTCAAATCAGAAGAGGATAATAAATAATCTCAAAATTCTATTTCAATTCAAGCACATCACAACATTCTAACAAGTTACTCATTATGACTATAAAAACACTCATCTTATTACCCATCTGATTGTAATTGATCAATAACACTCATATTATTATTATCTCTGAATGTACATTATCTCATATTGAATTTCATTCAAATATCTAGTCAATTTCACACATGTATATAAATGAAGGAAAATAGTTGTGTGAGTGAGTACCTTGATATGATTATGAGCAATAGTAATAAATTGTGCTCGAAACTTGGTCATCAGTTGATATTACTGGAGAACAGAGAATGAGACAAGAAAAGAACTGAAACAACCAACTTACATGACTGAGCAATTGTTGATGTCAGTGTACCATTTAAATACACTTCCCAGTATTTCACTTTCAAGAAACGATTAAATATCCCCTGTTCAGGTTGACAACTAACCACAGCTTTTTGTCTTGGTTTAATCGGGAAAGTGTTATAGATAATCTTCAAATTTTCATCTGGCATAGGAACTGTTTTATTTTTGTTTGTTTTTTTGGAAGGGAACAAAAAGATGAAAAACAATAGTTCAATCAATAATGACATCATAAAGTATTAAAATAAAAAATACTTATGTGATACATATGTGTACTACTTATAAATACATATAAGTAGTGAGCTGTTGGCCTAGGTGTAGAATGCTCGCCAACCATACACATAGTCCGGGGTTCGACCCCCGGGGCGATGCACTCCACTTAACCTCTCTTTGTCGGTAGTAAGCCCAGGAAAAAGGGAAAGTTGGTTGTGAACCTAGCAACAAACCCAACCTGTAAAAACAACTCCATTGCTATGAAATTTCGAAAGCCTAAATAGAGCTGAAAGGGATGAAAAAAACTGGAGTAACCTCTTAAGAAAAATCAATACTAATCCATGCGTAATAGATAGGAAAATCGGTGTGGAGGAAATGCAACAGGAGAGTTACAGTTTTGAGGAGGATCGTATGTCGATTGATTCAGTGGGGGCACAGAACGCTCAACAGCCCCATACACACCGAAGGTCCGGATTTGACTTCCAGTTTAGTTTATTCGCCTGTGATAATCCCAGGACTAGAAACACTACCCCACTGTAGAAACTTCTACAACTGAAGCTTTATGTGTTCAACTCGGAATATAGAGAGGAATAGAGAAAGAGACACGGAGAACAAAATATCTCTAATACAAAATAGGCAATAGTATTAGCCAACAACGCCGTCAATCTTGTTCCCATTACTAACAGTGTTATCTCTATATATTCCCACATTCTCTCCCTATCTCCACCCACCCACCCCCCTCTACATTCAAACTCACATATACAGATGTCGACTATTTTCAAAGTAGAGTACCATCTGTCAATGGTCAGTTTTATAATTCTTCTAAAACAAAATTATTTTTCTAAGAGTAGACTCATTCATTATCTTGAACTGTCAGTCAGTGTGTTAAAACAATAAAGGTGTGTAGATTCCCCCGCCACCCCCCCCCTACACACACATACACCTCACCACCGTCAGCACCACTTTGTAAGCAAAAACAAATATTAAAAAAACTATGTGAAAATGTTAGATTCACATAGCGTGATATGCGGGACAACAATATGAGTGTTGCATGTTATGAGAACTTAGCATATGAATTATTATTATTATTCCCTTGGGTTGTAAATGAAACATAGAGCTTTAACAACACATCTCCACTTTGTTCTATTCTCTGCAGTCCTCTTTATCTGGCTCCACAATTGCACATAGTCTGTCATCTCCTCCTCCCCCAACTCGCACGATCTCCTCCATGTCCCCCTCATCCTATTTCAGCTGACATAGTATGGATCAGATTGGAAAAGAGTTAGCTAGTGGTGGTGGCCAAACCAAAAAATGGCTACATCAGTCAATGAAATCCACAACAGTTAGGAATGTGTAGACTGTCAGTCTGGTTGGGGTCCTCGGGATGGTAAAAACCAATGAAGGCAGCTGGCGACAGTTGATAATATGGCTCAAAGTGATCGTTGTCAATGGCTGGAGCAAATGTATTCACTCTTTGTGATTTATCGTATCCAGTAAAAGTTTTTTGTTCTTTCATATTACTATTCTTTTTCCATCACTCACACTTCTGTTTATTATCTGTCTCTCTTTTTCTCTTTTGAATCCCTCTCTACTCTCTTCTCTTGCTTTGTGTGGTACATGCAGGGAGTGTGGCAAGTTGAACTGGTGAGCATCTGTGCGAACTTCTCCGTTGAAACCAGTCAATCAGTCACTCTCAGACCCATGTAAATATCGTCGTTCCCCATTCCGGTTCCACTCAAGCACTAGTCTGTCTATGTGATGTCATTCGATGGTCTCCTTAGTGTGTGCCCAATCCATCTCCATTTTTTCGGCAATAGGTTCTTGGTTGATTTGTTCCCTGAGTTTCTTGGTGCTGATTCTTTCTGACCAGCAATCTTATCTTCAGTTTGGAGTCAGGAGAGTCAGTTTTTAATAAATGTCTGAAGCCTCTTTGAAATGCATTTGGTGATGCACCCGCAGAGTGTTTGAATCATATAAAAGCGGTGGCTTAATATTGGTGTTGAAAATCCGAACTTTTTTTCTCTGTGTGGAGTTCAGAAGATTTCCTGATTTCAGAGTGATGAGGGTGTGTGTCTTGCATTTCCGACTCTGTGGGTGGCTTTGACATCCTCGTTTGTGCCAACGGCGTGTAGTTGAAATGAGATGTTGCCTACACAAGTGAAGGAAGTGACGCCTTTCACACTTATTCTTTTGATAGTGATTGGTGCTTCTGGTTGTTGTTGTTACTGGTGGCGATGGTGGTTTTTGTCATCACCTCCATCTTCTCGATGTTCACTTGAATTCCTGTCTTCGGTGACTGCTGCTTCTGAGCCAGTCTGTTGTTCTCCACATGCAAGTCTTCCAGTTTGTCGACGCCGAAATCCTGAGTCGCATCATCCTGGAGAGAATAAAGGACGCACTGGATACAGAACTTCGACCAGAACAAGCTGGATTCAGGAAAGGCAAATCATGTTCTGACCAAATTGCAACTCTACGCATTATCATCGAGCAAAGCATGGAATGGCAATCAAACCTCTACCTCAACTTCATAGACTTTGAGAAGGCCTTCGACAGCGTTGACCACGAAGTAATTTGGAAACTACTCAAGTACTACTGCGTATCCCAAATATTCATCAACCTTATTCAACAGCTGTACAACAACGGCACATGTCAAGTCATCCACAACGGAAAACTCAGCGAGGCGTTTCGAGTAAACACAGGAGTCAGACAAGGGTGCTTATTATCACCAATGATATTCCTAATTGTGGTGGACGGGATTATGCGTCAGACAGGGGGAAACGAGAAGACAGCGATGTCCTGGACCGACGTGAAGAACCTAGAAGACCTGGATTTCGCGCGTGGATGATTTATGTTTGATGTCACACAAAATCGAAGACTTACAAGCGAAAACCGACAAACTGGTCCAAGAAGCAGCAAAGACAGGAATCCAGGTGAACATAGACAAGACGGAGGTTATGAAAATAACCAACCAACCAACAACTACAACAACAGCAACATCCAGCGCCAATCACCATCAACGGGAGGGATTTGAAAGAGGTTACTTCATTCACTTATCTAGGGAGCATTGTCTCAACTACAGGAGGAACGGACGAGGATGTCAAATCGAGAATCGGGAAGGCAAGAAACACATTCATCAACCTGAAACCCATCTGGAAATCTTCGTCACTCACTCAGCATCAACAACAAAATTCGGATTTTGAATACAAACGTCAAATCAGTTCTTCTATACGGATCAGAAACTTGGCGGCGGGTCACAAAGAATATTTATTTCCAACAGCCTGTTGCAGACCTTTATCAACAACTCTCTTCTTCACTCTACACTCAAGATCAGATGGCCGCCGGAAAGAATCACAAACAAGAAACTATGGGAACGAACAAAACAAGAACCAATCGCCAACCAACAAATATGCAGGAGAAAGTGGAGATGGATTGGACACTCGCTGAGGAGGCCACTGGGTGACATCGCGCGTCAGGCCATAGCTCGAGTGGAACCCGAAAGGGAAGCGGCGAGTAGTGGGACGTCCAACGGTGACATGGAGGAGATCGTGTGAAGAGGATTTGAAACAGTATGGACTAACATGGATGCAGATGAAAAGTACAGCTGAAGACAGAAACAAGTGGAGACATGCAGTTGAAGTCCTATCTTCCACTAGGAACCCAAGGGAACAATAATAATAATAATACAATAATAAGTCTTCCAGTTTGCGTGACATTAGACATAAATCGTGTACGAAATCCAAGTCTTCTAGAGTCTTCTTATCGGTCAGTTCAGCGCATTCCTCTCTTCTCAATCCATGTGGTCTTCATCACAAAATTTAGGAATATCATCGTTGATAGTAGTCAGCTTTATCTTACTCACTGAGTTTTCCGGTTGCGAATCACTTAGTATGTAGCATCACCATGTAGCTGTTGAATGAGGCTGATCAAGATTTGGCGTACTGCAACGCTATGGTGTTCAAGTAGTTTCCAAATTACTTCAACGCTGTCAAAGACCTTTTAAAGGTGAATATGAAGTTGAGTTAGAGTGAGGCTTGACTGCCATTCTATGCTCTGTCCAATGATAATGATGCGTACAGTCGGAATTGGATCGGCACATGATTTTCTTTCCTTGAATCCAGTTTGTTTCCGTCAGAGTTCTGTATCCAGTGCATCTTTTCTTTTCTCCAGGTTAACCCGAATTAGCATTTTACGTGATGTGGATAACAGCATTATTCCGCATCAGCTATTGCACAGCTTTATAGGAGAAATGTAACCGTATATTTACGCCAAAGACAGACTATCATACTGATGTAAGTGGCTATGACTGTGGCAAGATCATCCCCAGGTACAGTAGTCAATCTGAAAGGCGACTACTAGTCCGGGTCCTGTAATAACCTATATTTTTATTTCAGTGTATGTGGGGTTATATTAAATAAAAATTGTTCTATTATCGAATTATACTCTACCATCGGTGGCACAGAGGTAGAATGGTCGCCGACCACGCATGTGGTTCCCGGCTACCGACGCACTGCTTTATCTCACCTCGATAAGCCAGTAATAAAACGACTGGTTAAGAGGGAAGGTTGGGGACATGAGGCTGGCTAGCAACCCCATCCCGTAAAAATCAACACCACTGCTATATAATCTTCAAGCTTCTAGCTTGAAGCCCACCCCTATGTTCCACTGGGAACGTATAGGAATAAAAAAATAAGAAAAATAGGGACCATAGACCAAATTGTATTCTCTTATACCTTTTCTAATAACAACAAATGATTCGTCTAAACTATCGAACAGACAGACAGACTGTGGGGAACACAAGAAGACGGGCATAGTAAGTTGGATTGTCAAAACAAAGTACTTGGGAAGATCTGAACTTCAAGGATGACTTATGAGACTCATTTCATACAAACTCGAAGATCTATAGACGAAAAACAACATCTTGTCAAAAGAGATAGAGAGAGAGCAAAGACAAGAGTTGGGGATGGGGATACGCCTAACCAACACCAATAAGCACCAATCACTATCATTGGAATAAATTTGAGAGAGGTCACTTCCTGCTCCTTTCGAGGAAACCATAGGACGTTGGCGGAGATGAGGATGTCAAAGCCAATCAGGATCGGGAATGCAAGACACACCTTCATCACTCTGAAATCAGGAAATCTTCTACATTCAACACAGAGAACATTTAAATATCAAGTCAGTCAATGTGTCTATAATAATTCAGAGACTCGCCATGTACATCACCAAAAGCATTTCTCCAACAGGCTAACTGTAGACTTCCATTAACAGCAATCGTCGTAATGCTGAAGATCAGATTTCCGGGCAGAAGAAAGTGTAACTAGAAACAAGTTAAGAAAAAATACGCAGAAGGAGATAGAGATAGATTGGACACATGCTAAGAATACCGGTGACTGACATCACGCGCCAAGCAGGTCGTCAAGTGGGAGCTGAGTTAGGGGCGTGGATTCGAGAGAGACATGAAGTGGGAGAAGATGATGATGAAAGCTCTTGGACAATCATGAAGCCAGCAAAGAAAAGACTTCAAAGAACAGAGTGAAATGCAGATGCCCTGGTGAAGCCCTATATTCCACTCAGGACCCAAAGGGAATAATGATAATATTATCCAACTGAAAAACGAAATAAGCCAGTATCATAATAGTTTCTCCAATGAGTGACACTATTTCAGATAGGTGATAAAATATACTGTCCTTTCAAACTTCATAAACAACTTACTGAGAACTGTCGATAAAGACGACAGTTCAGTCAGACAACACAAAGCTCCCGTTGACGACGAAACTCTAAGACTTAGTATGAGATACCGTTTAAAAAGGCAATGATAATGGAAGCAGAAAAGAAAGGACACCCTCCCTTTCCTTCATTTCAACCCCACCCCACTCCTTCTGTTTTTTCTTTACCTTACCTTGATGAACAACCATTTTACGTGATCTGGCTTGACCAAGATAATTTTCAGCTTGACAAAAAAATACCATTCGCATTGTCGAGGAACGTGTAGCCGTGAAATTTAGCCAACCATTACCGACAACAACTTGACTGTTTGAATTCTGTTTTATATTATCGTTGTTATTATTATTATTTGTATTAGTATTGCTAACACCATTGCTGACACCAGTATTTCCATTGACTTGTTGACCTGATGAAGACACAGCCTGATCAGCTTGAGGAGTTTCCCTTTACATAAAAACAAACAAATAAATAAAAGAGACAAATTATTAAATATGCATATGTAATTATAACAAAAACCATTGATACTACTAGTTAATAATGCTACTCTCTCTCTCTCAGTAGTCAATTTATGGAAAAGGCAAAACAATAACTCTAAGATTAGTGAGTAAAGAATATTCCTTTATGTGACAACTTCTTTCCCTTCGGGTTCTACATTTATTTGGCTATAATAATAATAGTAAATAAAACTTTCAAGCATTCGTTTGTAGGGATTTGATTGATTAGTTACAGGATTTCATCATGAGCTGATATCGGTGCGAGAACCATCGGAAAACCCGGGAGTACTGGACAGCCAGCCTTTTCGTCGTAGTTTAGGACTCTTCATCGGTACGCACCCATCGGGTTTCGAAAGCAGGAACTTCCGGTTACAAGGTGAACTCGATGTCAGCTCATGAGGAAATCCTGTAACTGATCCAATCAGACCCCTGCAAGTCAGCACTTGAATATTAAGTCTGATGCTCACTAGCGACTGGTCTCTATTCAGGTGGGGATTCTAGCGAGAAGTTCTGACCAGTGGGGTAGAGAGCAGGTCGAATGTCAGGACAAATACTAGCCGATGACATTAGCTAGTGGTCGGGCCATATCATAAATTGGCAGAAGTTTGAATTCATGGACTGGCTGGCCACTCGATCAGGTCCCAGTAGCTTAGTGGTCTACGAGCTCGCTAGTCTTGTAACCAGAAGGTCGTGGGTTCGAACCCTGGCGGTGGATGCATACTGATGAGGAGTCCTAAACTAGACTGACGAGACAGTTGGTTGTCCAATGGTTCTCTAACTGATGTCAACTACTCATGATCAAACCCCAGCGAACCAAAACTTGATTATTGTTTCTATCACCAATGAATTGAAATTATCGTAAAATGTCCTACTATCCGTCCGAAAACTCATTACGCTCATGCACTTAATTCGATACACGACACATGATAATGTTACAACTTAATATTAAATGTGTTCAACGTGTGTGTGTGTGCGTTTGTTCATTTCTCATCAGTCGATCAATAAACAGGTAAACTAACAGAATTTTATATTCGTAGATGATTTATGAATAATTGATCAATTCAAACCAGATGAATTTTTTGTTTGTATTTTAAACACACTGTTACACACACACAGAGGCATGAGATATGACTTAATCATTCTGAGTTGCAAATTGTTCCAATTGTTGTTTCTTTTTTCGGTTCACTACACGAAATATACACACTTTTGTCACAAAGAACAGTTTTGTAGTGACTCATTCAGTCCACTTAGTGAGCCTACACACTCACTACTACTCAAGTACATACATCTTGCTATGCATTATGGCATGAGTATAATTGATGTTCAAAGTGCCGGATATTATCATTATTATTATCATCATTACTTATTGCTCACTTTCCCAGTGAAACATACAGTCTACGAGGCAAATAAATCACCAATGAACTCAGTTCTTTCACATCACTATCAACCGGCTTTCATTTCCTCTTCACACTGATTCCCTCAGAGAGAGACTTACAGCCCGTCGCTTCCCATCCAGCTTTCATCCAACAGCTTGATGTGTAGTGTTACTCAACGGTCTTCTCATCGTTTGCCCAATCGATCCATTTTCATTTCCTTATGAATATTTTATCGGTAATATGTTCTTGGCCAGTTTGCTGCCTACCGGAACTCCCTATTCCTTGGTTGTTCTTTTCTGGTCGGCCATCTGACCTACAGTATCATCGAGTGGTCGTATATCTGTTGGTCAACATCTGCAGTAGTCTGTTTCAAAATGCGTTTTGTGATGCGCGTACGAAGTCTCTGAAACATCTAGAAGCTCTGATTGGACACCAGTTAGTAACTAGTGTAATGTGTGTCTAGTCCTTTGTTTGGTTCAAACTGAATTCTATCAGTCCTGTTTTTTGCAATAAGGCCACCATGCCACTACGTGGCTCGCCATCAAGGTGCACTGTAAATTGTTGATATTAGATGGTTAGAGGTAATGGGCAGGAAGACTTCGACCTACGTTTCGTGTTAGTAGCTGGTACTCGTCAGTAAGGCGTTTCTGAATTTTAAAGTGCACCATGATGGCAAGCCACCCAGAATGGTTGCCATAGTGTAAACTTGACTGACAGAATTCAGTCTGCATCAAACAAAGGACTAGCCGCATAACACTAGTTACTGACTACTGTCCAATCAAAGTATCTAATATAGTCCTACAGGAGGTCAATCGCAATTATTTATTTATTTATTTAAACGCAGAAAAACTTGGTACAATATGGCACCAAGAAAGATGCGCCACACAATAATAATAAAACAACATAGATTAAAAGTAAAAATATAGGTAGAAAACGAATAAAGAACTTCATCAGGAAGGATAACTGCCGATAACGGCCGATAACTGCTACCTTGCCGTGGTGGTCGGGCTTGAATGCCGCAGTGACCCAACAAGCTAAACTGGCTGGGACTCATGTCCCTGCGGGTCCTACCATGTCAGGAAGGTTGTTTGGATAGCGGTTAGACTAAAAGCAGTTACCATGGGGTACATGGGCTCCAGAATCCAATCGGACCAAATGGCGTACGAACCCATATGGGTCACCGGCAACCATGGGAACGCAGCACGTGACACTGCTCCGCTGCCTTGCGGATTAGACTCCAAGTCAAAGGCTCGGGGGGTGGTCCCTTAAGAAAACCACCTGCTTCGGTCTGGGCGCCCGGGCAGTATCTCAGCCCTCACACAATAAATGAAATGAAGCGACAAACTATTACTGAAACTCACCGGTCAATCGGAAGCCCGGATAGAGCTCAGTGGTAATATCTCTGATTGCAACACCGGCTGACCCAGGTTCGAATCTCAGAAGGGACATGAGTTCCTTCAAGGCGGTTACAGGTACGCCTTGCTAACTGATGAGTGTCAACAAACAGGAAACCTAGGTCAGGCAAGGCTTCCTGCCGATTGCTTCTAACCATCTAGAAGCAGTGACTTCACATTAGTGTTGAAAATTCAGATATTGTTCCCTTTTGTTAATGGTTATGCATAACCACACTGATTTCAGAGTAGTGAACAACCCCAGCTTTCTATCATCCGCGCCCGCCCGCCTGTAGTCAAACGGTGGCTGTCTAACCATCTAGGTGGAAGACATGACTTTCCTTAGCTTTCTTCTGTTGATGATGACTTATGCTTCTCTTATTGTTGGTTGGGTATCATTTCATCACTTATGTCTTTTCTATGTTCATCTGAATTCCTGTCTTCGTTGCTTCTTCCGACAACTGGTTGGTTCTCACTTGTAAATATTCGAATTTCAGTGACATGAGTTATGAATCATTTAATGACATCTAGATTATCTAGGACTTTGTCGTCAGGCCAAATTATACGCGTCTTCTCCCTCTCCATGATCTGCCAAATGGTCCAGTTCATCATAATGCGACTTGAATATAGGACCAAAAACATTCGGCGAAGAGTCTCTTTTAGCCGGCGAATTCATTCACTTAGCTGTACAATCGCAATTATACATAGTTATTTTGTGTCTATGTGTGTGTGCGTACATTAGGATTGTCAAACAAAAGTAAAAAATTAGTTAGGGTCACCACTGTTTACGTCATCAAAATGTTGCAAAAATGTGATGAATAATCAAAATTGTAACTAGGGGGGGGGTGGGCAGTGAAGATTGGTAAGGCTATGACAATCACACTAACAGTAGTTAACTAGCCAAACACATGCAAGTAGAGAGAGAGTAAGACTCGGCCTTACTTACTTACTTTACTTCGGCTATCTCCTACGGGAGGATGAGCCGGCTTCATGAACATCTCGAATCATCGCTGCCCAGGAGCGGCGATCTGACGCAACGTTTTGCGACAGGGTTATCCAATTAAGAGAGTTCATGAAGTTTCATGGGAATTTGGTACGAGTGATGTCCCCAGAATCGCTCGGCCTTTTGTTTGAGAGTGCAGCTCTAGCCTTTACGCAACCAAGTGTGACCTACAAGGCAGTAGGAGTGGAATAGGGAGTCCACTATCCATTGGCAGCCGGTGACCGGAGTTCGGTTCATACGCCTTTTTGAATGGGACCAGACATCCAGGACATCCAACAAGCCCTTTGTCCATACGTCTGCCGGTGAGCTCCAGTGAGCTTCATACGCCAGTCCTTGGAGGTTTGGAATCAGGGTTTAGCCATCTCCCCTAGACTGTCATCCAATGGACAGTCAACCCGGTGAAGAGCGCCGGGCATCCGCTTTTGCCCTCTCACTTTGGTGAAAAACACCTCCGCCACGTGAAGGCAGTGAGTAGGACTTCCTCAGGAGAGGCTATGTAAGACGCCCGGTCATATGGGAGCATTTCAAGAGGTGTGCGGAGGGGTGGCCAACCCACAGCGCAAGGCACCCACCCCCGACCATCCTGAGGCCTTGTCATCTAACAAATAAAAATTCCCCTGCATAGTAGAGATCGCCCTTCAATAAATAACAGCAGATTCCGTAGGCTGAATATATAAATACTGTGAATGTCATCCAAGGGGCTCCCACACTACTTTGCGTTTTCTACTCCTAAGACAGATAGCCTTCAGTCAGCAGACTGTTTTATCGACATAATGAGCGATGACTGGTATATATCAGGGTTGCGATAAGACTTGGCCTAGTGACCTCTGGATTTTTAGTCGAACGATTTACCAGCTGAGAGCTAGGAGACCACCGAGCTGTTAACCAACATTTCACTGCAGTTGAGTTGTCATGTAAGGTAAGCAAAAGATACGTTATGTTACTTACTGTCTGTGTATCGTCATCCCACCAAATCCTCCTATCGATCCTAATCATGGAGTGATGTAGCTGGTCAGGAGCAGGTATATCGACTGACATAACCTTATGTTTTCAACCCAATTACTATTTCAAGCAGTCTCACTGTCTTCTTCTATACAGTTCAGCATGATTACAATCGACAGAAGAAGAAGACCTAGTTGGGGGGAGCGGCAGCTAGTTTTACGACAAAATAGACAGTAGCATACAATTTTTATCTGTCAAACTAATTCTTTTCAGTTTCGATCACGAATTGGCTTCAGCGAGAGAACCACTGAAGACCAGGAAGGAGGACAGGACAACCATCTCATCTTTGTCTGACAATCTTCATCAGTAGTACGCACCCATGATCCCAATAGGGGAATTGAATCCACAACCTTCAATGTTACAAGACAAACACGCCTGAGGAGACCAATGACATTAAGTGGCAGTCACACTATTAACCATGAGCTATTAGGTTCTGTCCGAGTGGCTGAATAGCATACGAGCTTGTCTTATAACCTGAAGGTCCTGACTTCGATCACTGTTAGGAGGGTCGTGGGTACCTGCCGGTGAAGAGTCCCAAACAAAGACGTAACAGCTGTCCAGTACCCCCTGGTTTTCCAATGGTTCGCCAACTAAAGTCAATTCGTGATCAAACTAACACCTGATTCTTTTGCATTAATATCTGCCCTGATAATTTAGATAGAAAACTTGTTGTGTAAGAGAATGACTGCAGTTAGACCAAAAACATGAGTAGCCTGCAGTTACATTGGAATCAAAGTTGGTATTTCCACTGATAAGTGACTGTGTTCTTATTTATTTCCAAACATATTGCCGAAATCCTCCAAGCGCATTCATATGATAAGTTTTAAAACAGTGTAACACTGAATTGAATTACAAGGCTAGTCTTTATCTCTCCGTCTTAGGCCTCCGATGTCTAGATGGTATAGTAAGGTCAATGATAATGAGAGTTTTCTGCGTAGAGTTTGAGAGGTAAGGAAAGAAAGCGTCAACTGATGACATTGTGAAATTGTATCGATTAAGGAGGCTAAGATATATGATAGGCAAGCCAAGTCATAGTTCTCTACGTGTAGAGCAATATTAGCTGATACTGGATTGGGTTGGAAATGAGCTAAATGAGAGGGGCGGGGGGTGAAGAGGAGTGTCAAACCAAACCTAACCATATCGGGAGTTCAATTCAGGTCAGCTCAGCTCAAAATCAGATACACTAAATCTAACGACAGATTTGGCTTTCTTCTTGTTTAGAAGCAATATCAACAACCGCATGACGATAGATACTACTGATTGATTTATGTGAGTAGTTAGATACCACTCCAAGCAGAGAGTACCGCTTATTAGCCAACCAGATGGAAGTGACACCTAAACAACGAATAGCCGTTTCGATCCTTTTGGGATCGAGCTTATGAAAATTTAACTTAGTTCAGGGATCCAAAACAGTTGAAATCATCACTCGAGTTCTAACTAGCTTACTTGGGTGAACTGATAATAGTGTTAAATCAAATTCGCAATCTGCAATTTACACAACTCGAGGAGGTGACACTTTGACCACAATTTCCTTTTTTTCCTCCACGTTCCCAGTGGAACATAGGGCTTCAAGCTAGTGGCTTGAAGTTTCTGTAGCAATGTTTATTTTTATAGGATGGGGTTGCTAGCCTCATGCCCAACCTTTCCTCATTACCAGCATTATTTCTGGCTTAGCGAGGTAAAGGAGTGCGTTGGCTGGGGATCGAACCCTGGTCCAGATGCATAGTCGGCGAACGTCCTAACCGCTATACCACCGACGCACCACAATTTCCTTTTCAAACCGAAACTATTCAGATCACCACAATATGTATATGTATATATATATGCAACCTACCCGATACCCATAAATGGTAGTCAAAAAAGCAAGTATTATAAATGTATGACGCCACTAATCACGGAATTGACTAAAAATCAAAAACATGGGCACTGTGGCAGTAAGTAATTCCATATAAGTTTGTTTATTAGATAATATCACACAGACTGTGAAGCAGTATCATTATTTATTGGATGACAGCGTTTCAAATACGATTTATTACTGTTCATAATCGTATCATCAATTATAACCACACAACTTCAAAACTTGAGTTTTATAGTTGTAGGGGTAGTAGAATTTTCCAGATATCTGAATGGACAGGTGTTGGATCATTCCTATTACACGTAGTCTCTTCAGTTGATTCGGTAAACAAATCTTCCGTTATCAATACCTCCCTCCACCCAGTTATATTAGATTTTAAAACTGTCATCTTATCTCATTCTACATGGTATGGTTGTGTGTAATTGCATGTCGTGAGTGCTACAGCTGGACTATTCTCCAGATTTCTTATCTTATTCGGGTCAACTAATCTAGATTTTGCAAGGTTTTTATGCTCGGCTAGACCGACTGTCCCTATTCTACTACTTTGACCTACGTATTTGACCTGACAGATAGGCTAAATTGTTTTGAAGTATTGGTTTCCTAGGGATTTTTGTTTGTTTGATTGGTTGGAGGATTTCATCATGAGCCGACATCAGTTAGAGAACCATAGGAAAACCAGTCACAGGGAGTACTGGACAGTTGTTTCTGTTGTCCTAGTTTGGGACTCTTCAGCAATACGCACCCACCAGTATGGTTCACAGCAGATTGAAGGTGAGGCAGTAACTCACCGAAGAAGACATTGCGAAGTGGTCACGCTATGTGTTATGAATTGGTAGAAGTTAAAATTCATGAACTGGCTGGCCATTGGATCGTGGGTCTCAGTGGCTTAATGGTCTATGAGCTTGCTAGTCTTGTGATCAGAAAGTCCCGGGTTCGAACTCTAGCAGTGGTTGCGTACTGCTAAAGATTCCCAAACTAGACTGACGAGACAGCTGGTTGTCCAGTACTCCCAGTACTGGTTTTCCAATCGTTCTTTAACTGATGTCAGTTCATGATGAAATCCTCCTGCATTGTTAATAATTCTCCTTTGTATGGAAGTACTACTGGAAAATTCTACTACCCCAACGACGACGAATAGGAAAGAATAAAGAAAACTATAAAACCCAAAAGTTTCGAAGTTGTGTGGTTATAATTGATGATACGATTATGAACAGTAATAAATCGTATTTGAAACACTGTCATCCAGTAAATAATAATGCTGTTTCACAGTCTGTGTGATATATTTAATAAACAAACTAATATGGAACATCAAAAACGTTATTTATACGCCCTGATGTAGTTTTATCAGTTATACAAAAGACATAGCACGAAATATATAAGCGTATATAGACCATACACACATACCTGACACGACTACTGAATCCAAGTTCACTGATATAATTTTCATCATTTTGAAAATCAATTGTCCTATGATCTGCATATCCTGAAGATGTTGAAGACGATGACGAGGATGAACCACCACCGCCACCGCCTCCTGAATTACTCGAAAATAAACTATCTAAACTAGCTGTAGTCGGTCGACCATTTGTTGGCAATGAAAACCATCGAATTTGTGGTGTTGGATTACCTGCAGCCCGACACAACACTTGAAGGCCAGTACGATCAAAAAATTGTAGTAAACTTGGTAAATCTGGTATAATATGAGGCGGTGAATGTGTATCACTTAGCCGTTTATTCCTGAGTAATGGTGGAGCAGTATAATTTGTAGGGATATGTTTATAATAAGGTGTACTAGTAACTTCATCATATACTACGACATCATCGTTGTTCTGATTTGATTCAGAATGTACAGATTGATTCACTATAATAGAAAGAAAAATATAAAAATAGAGAAGAAAACATTAATGAAATTAAACCTAACGATCACTGGAATCATACAAAAATTGTTTATAAAACACAAAATAATTGAGCTAAGAATATCCTTTTCGATAATTTCCTCTTCTGGTTCTACAATTATATATATACGTATATTTATATACACAGAATATTCTAGAATAGTAGTCAATAACAATATTAGTGTTTTTTATTAAATAATATCGATATGTTAAGTAAGATCACAATGGAATTACCACAGTTCATTAAAGATGCTTAAATAATAATAATAATAAAGATATAGTAGCAAATAGAATACCAACTAAAATTAGGAAAATTCCACAAAAATTCAGGATCATTCAAACCTAGATGGCCATAGGGGCAAGGATAAAGTCTGAACTAAATGCTTCTTTTGGACGCACAAATTACGCTTGTTAATGTGGATCCCAACAGCCAGCCTCAGCAATATTTAGTAGTCGAACTCTTAAGGCGAAACTGAGATTCGTAGGTGTGTGGTAAATGACCCTGAAAGCATAGTTAACGTCAATCAGTCTTGTGTTCTGTATCCACAAGATGAGATAGAGTAGTACTACAAATAGATTTTGTTTGTCCTTTACTTAACCACACAGGGGGATATTCAGAAATACGACGAGAAACACGCCTAATTGTGTGGCCTAAGCAGCTAACTGGCTCCACAGGAGCAGTTAAATTGGTAGATACACCCGGAGAAGAGGCGAAATTAGGCAGTTTGTCTTTTACTACTACCGAACGCAAAAGAGGAGTGGTTTTGAAGACACAGTGTAATTTAGCAGCAGGGAATGCTCTTCGCTTTACCGCATTTCTAAGGCGCTGTGTTAATATCTCGCTGATGTTGTCTCCAAGAAACTACATTTGTAAGAATGAGGCATTTTTTGGAACTGTTGGTACTTTGGGCTGCTTTGATTTTAGATTCATATTCTTATCAATAAACTTTTCTGGATAAGCATTTTCACTTAGCAGCCGTTTAATATTATTAAGTTCCTCATCAAGACATTCATCCGAGCGATACTTCCTAGTTATTGAGTGAAGTCTACGTCTATTTATCTAGGCCGTACAATTAGGCGTGTTTATCATCCGATTTCCGAACATCATCCTGCATGGTTCAGTAGAAGGCAAACATTACCCATATATAGCTGCATTCTATCTCATCTTGTGGATACAGAACACAAGATTGATGTAAACAAGGCAACTTTCAAAGTCATCCACTGCATACCAACTAATTTCAACTTCACCTTAAAAGTTCGTCTACTACATTATCGCTGATGCTGGCTGCTGGGATCTACATTAAGAAGCCCGACTTTTGTATCCAAAAGAAGTTGGTTCAGACACTATCCTTACCCCGCTGGCCATCAAGGTTTTAATGATCCTCAATTCGCTGTGGAAATTTCCTTAATTTTATTTGACATTCTATTTGCCATTACATGCTTATGCCTATTATAAATTAAGTGTCTTTCTTGAACTGTAATTCCGTTGTGATCTTACTTGACAAATCGATATTATTTTTTAAAAAAAAACATCAATATTGATAATGGTGATTATTCCAGAATATTCTGTGTATATAATTATATGATGAATATAATTATAGGGCCAGAAGAAGAAATTATGGAAAAGGATATTCCCTGCTCATTTTTTTGTTTTTTTTTCTAAATGTCTAAATGAATATTTCCGCTACATATGTATCTACAAAAGCCGCTTGTAAATTTATGAAAATTCAAAACCCCGAGGCGAAACTGAGAAACATTTCTGAGATGACAGATTGATAATAATATCTAAAAAGGATTATTTGGTTAAAGTACAAGGATAAACCTGAGTAGCGTAATATGTATATTAATAAAACACAACTTTGGTACAACGTTATGGGCACCAAGAGACGCGCCACACAAAATTGCCTCATAGTTTGTGAGAGCGAGGGCTGCCTGGACGTCAAGACCTAAGCAAGTGGTTCACTTAAGGGGCCTCGACTTAAGGTCTGATCCACGAAGCAGTCAAGCAGTGTCAAGAGCTACGTTCTCATAGTTCTCGGTGGCCAAAATAGGTTTATACGCCATTCCATCTGTTTGGATTCTGAAGTCCATTTACACACCTTAGGTTTGAAATCAGGACTTTTCAACCCCAATAGGTAGGTAGACCAACATGTTATTCACCAGTCCAATTATAAGTGCCGAATGATCTAGGGAACATTGTCTCAGCTACAGGAGAAACGGACGAGGATGTCAAATCGAGAATCGGGAAGGCGAGAAACACATTCATCAACCTGAAACCAATCTGGACATCTTCCGCTGTCACTCAGCATCAACAACAAAATTCGGATTTTCAATACAAACGTCAAGTCAGTCAGTTCTTCTATACGGATCAGAAACTTGGAGGGTCACAAAGAATATCTCCAACGGCCTGTTACAGACCTTTATCAACAACTGTCTTCGCTCTATACTCAAGATCAGATGGCCGCCGGAAAGAATCACCAACAAGAGACTATGGGGAGAAACAAAACAAGAACCAATCGCCAACCAACAAATATGCAGGAGAAAGTGGAGATGGATTGGACACTCGTTGAGGAGGCCGTTGGGTGACATCGCGCGTCAGGCCATAGCTCGAGTGGAACCCGAAAGGGAAGCGGCGAGTAGTGGGACGTCCAAGGGTGACATAGAGGAGATCGTGTGAAGAGGAGATGAAACAGTATGGACTAACATGGATGCAGGTGAAAAGTACAGCAGAAGACAGAAGCAAGTGGAGACGTGCAGTTGAAGCCGTATCTTCCACTAGGAACCCAAGGGAACAATAAATAAATGATAAGATTAGGGTTTATGACTTTGGCTACACAAAAATAAATCACCTCTATTACACTTCTACTGATACTACACTGACAGATGAATTGAATTGTACTGAATTTTCAACGGTAAACTTTTCACAAAAGTGGGACATTTCTAGTTGACGAAATACTTCAAAAAGAATCACACATGAATGCAGACAAATTATGAAATCCAATAAAATTATAATAGACGGAATATACGAGGGGAAGAATCACTGAATGCAGGGATAATGAAATTTTAATGAGTTTGGGAAATGGAAACGATTACAGGGATCTACATTATTCACAATGACTATGAGCTATATCACTAACAGTCTCTGGCAGCTACTGGTTCTTACAGTATAGAGGACCCCAGGTAGGCAGGCAGTCTACATGTTCTTAAACAACCAAAGCCAACAGTCAAGGACTTTAGAGATTGAATACACCTGTTTGTTTTTCAAACTTAATTCTATATCACCTAACAATGCTGAAATGAGGAAGGTGGTGGCTTGGTCACATTAACTGTTTCTTGCTCGTGGAACTAGTATCCTTGCAATGCATTGTAAGACACTTGATATGCATAATCCTGAAACCATTCTCATCCCTCGTCAGATAGTGATATGTTGCGTCCAAGTTCAGATAGACGTAAGCAAATGGTGTCGATATGATTTAATGTACGACGTTTTAATATTTTCGAGGGAATGAATCGCTGAAAAGAAAATTTTCTTCTCTATTAACATCTTTTTCTTATGATTCAATATTGGTAATATTCCGTTTATTAAACAACTGCAAAAATCCTGTGTCAAGTAAAGGAACTGGACAAATTCCTCAGTCCAGCTTTCTGAAGTTAACATGGAACTTAATTTTCTGAAGCGATGCATAGATAAGGTTTAGTATCCAAAACACTATTTGAAGAATCTCTGCCGGAATTACATTTGTCCCAATTTGAAAACAATAAAATGTCATTCAACAAAATCATGTCGACGCCATAGGCTCACATCTACCAGAACTTGAACTTGTGCTTTCTATGAACTATCTGATGAGGAATGAGAAAGGTTTCAGGATTATGTATCCAATGTTATACATAAACTTCTTCAACCCATCAAACTGTTTGGTAATAGTAGGAAATGCATTTACGTGCTCTTAACAATCATTCAAACAATAATTCACTGTTTCAAAGTGAATAGTGTGTTTACAAACATTAAGTACCAACCGATTATTGAAGTATTAGTTTGTAGGGATTTGATTGACTGGTTACAGGAGTTCATCATGAGCTGACAATTGGTTAGAGAACCATCGGAAAACAATCCCGGGAGTACTGGACAGCCAGTTGTTTCATCAATCTAGTTTGGGACTCTTCATCAGTACGCACCCCAGCCAGAGTTCGGACCCACGACCTTCTGAGTACAAGGCTAGTGAGTTCGCAGACCATTAAGCCACTGGGACCCGATCCAATGGCCCATGAATTCTGACTTCTGCCAATTCACGACATAGCGCGACCGCTAGCCAATGTCATCGCTGGCGAGTATTTGTCCTCACTGGCTGAGAGTCCCAAACTAGGCTGACGAAACAGCTGCCCAGTACTCCCAGGTTTTCGAATAGTTCTCTAACGAATGTCAGCTCATGATGAAATCCTGTAACCAACCGATTATGTTAGATGTTAATAAACTATATGTCAGTGTTGAATAAAGAATCATCCATATGCTCAAGACTTAACATTATATCTCCACCGAAATAACGAGTTTACACTGCCATACAGAAGTCTTCATATACTTAATGATAAGTAGTGAAGTCAAGCAACATTTCAGAAATTGTGAGAACAGTTCATTGTAATTCTCAAGATTCACGCAAACACTATTTTATAACAAACGATTTCAGGGTACATTTTTTCTACCAAGTATTTGACGGAGAAGTTAAACTTTCATAATCAAAGTCAAGGTGTGTGCCAAAAGTTGACCTTCAAGAGCCAACACAAATGTCAAGTCTGTCATACTCCATTCTGAAGATCAAATGCCCAGCCGGCTAGCCAGAAAGAATTGGCAACAAGAAACTCTGACAGGTGACAAAGCAACAAACAATAACCGATTGCTCAACAAATATGTAGGGGAAAAATGGAGATGAATTGGGCATACGTTGAGGAGGCCATCGAATGACATCGCACA